TCATATCACAGAAAATATGGTGCATGCAGGGGCCACAGGGCACGCACCATCATACAACACGTAGAAAGCTAACTCCAACAGTAAGGTCACTTACCTCGATGGTCTTCGTTGAAGTCACTCACGACGAGCTAATCCCCGTGGTTAAATATGTCCTATGATAACCACATAAAAATTTAGAACCTTTCATAAGGTACCCTAGCTAAACCTCATGCTATTTATCAAAATAAACCCTCGACCAAATCTGTCTTTAACGTTTAGGAGCCATACTGACCTCGGATGGTAAAACTAAGGGCAGAAACGGCTTCAGAAGGGCCAAAAACCTTGGAATCGATATATTATAGTGATACCGATTCACCAAGCTGAGCTGCCGAGCCGACCTATTAAGCCGCCGAGCTGCCGTACACGTCAAGCCGAGCCGAGAGCACGCGTGCGGAGCCGAGACCAAGGCTGCAGCGCACGTCCGCGTTGGGCCGAAACGCATAGAGCCCGCGTTCGTCCCGTGGGCTGGTCCAGAGGCCGAACGTGAACCTGACCCGTTTTCCTTCGTCTTCCTTACCCGAAATCTCACGAAAACCCTAATCGTCGCTGCGCCGCCAATGGCGACGTCACAACCCCGATTTCGATGATGCGGCGACACCCCCCGCCTATTCCGACCGACGCGCAACGATATTCAACACCGATAGCCTCGGTTGCTTCTCCCTCAGGCCACTCACCGAAGAAAATCCAGCGAACCACCTCACACGTTTTTCCTGGCTAACCCTCTTGATTTTTCCGTACTCTCAGACACCCTCGAAAACCCAAAACGTTTGGAGAGCAAAAGTTGTTTCCAAGGAAGGAGGAGAGTTGTGTATGGGAATATAAAAGGTCTTTATGACTTTTCCATCAAGGCAGTAATTTCCTTGCTAGAAATCATACCCTTTTCCGGCGACAATAAATGTAGCATAATATCTTTTTGTTTTGGCAGCAAAAATAAAATCTTAGCATAAAATCTAAAATAAATAAAACAAAAATTCGAATCCTTACAGTTTGATACTGCGATCAAATCTTATGGCTTTAAACAGAATGTTGACGAACCTTGTATTTATAAAAGGATAGTCAACTCAGTAGCTTTCCTGGTGTTGTACGTTGACGATATCTTACTCATTGGAAATGATGTGGGATTTCTAACTGACATTAAGCATTGGCTAGTGACACAATTCCAAATGAAAGATTTGGGTGAGGCTCATTTTGTTCTTGGAATCCAAATTGTTCGGAATCGCAAGAACAAAACACTAGCATTGTCTCAGGCATCGTACATCGACAAAATGTTGATTCGATATAAGATGCAGGGCTCTAAGAAAGGATTATTACCTTTCAGGCATGGAGTTCATTTTTCGAAGGAACAAAGTCCTAAGACACCTCAAGAAGTTGAGGATATGAGACACATTCCATATGCATCAGCGATCGGTAGTCTGATGTAAGCCATGCTATGTACCCGACTCGACATATGCTATGCTGTGGGAATTGTCAGCAGATATCAGTCCAATCCGGGACGTGCTCATTGGACTGCCATTAAGAATATCCTCAAGTATCTTAGGAGAACGAGGGACTATATGCTAATGTACGGTGCTAAGGATCTGATCCTTACAGGGTACACTGACTCAGATTTTCAGACCGATGTAGATTCAAGAAAATCGACATCAGGACCTGTCTTCACTCTGAACGGAGGAGCAATAATATGGAGAAGCATAATGTAAGGTTGCATTGCTGATTCCACCATGGAGGCTGAGTATGTTGCTGCTTGTGAAGCAGCGAAAGAATCTATATGGCTTAGGAAGTTCTTAACTGATTTGGAAGTCGTTCCAAATATGCATCTTCCAGTCACTCTTTATTGTGATAACAGTGGAGCAGTTGCAAATTCAAAAGAACCAAGAAGCCATAAGCGAGGAAAACAAATTGAACGCAAATATCATCTCATAAGGGAGATTGTGCAACGAGGAGATGTGATCGTCACACAGATAGCTTCAGAGCACAACATTGCTGATCCATTTACAAAGCCCCTCACGTCTAAAGTGTTTGAAGGGCACCTAGTGAGTCTAGGACTACGAGTTATGTAATCTAGGGCAAGTGGGAGAAAAGGCATGAGTATATGATGCCCTAGTTTATTGTATTTATGTCTTTCTATCTACTCAACTTTATAAAACCCCACTAGAGTTGTAGTCCAAGTGGAAATTTGTTGGGTTTTATGTCCTAAAACTCATAGTTTGTAAACAAAAACATATTCTATTTTCAATAAAGTTACTATGGTTGTTTATTCAGTAAAGATTGTTATTGAATAAAGCGAACTTTACGAGCATTAATCTAAATCCAATAAACTAAGAACACTCTTGCTATAGGATGATTACTTGAACTATATGTAGAGACAAAAAAGTGAATCAAGTTCAAGTATATAGTCAAAATGATCTATAGTATAAGGATAAGGCTGAGTACCTTATTTTGGGGACACTATGGATGCGGCCCACTTTTGTATATGATATAAACAATGTGATCACTAAATTGTACATGTGGA